ACACACACACACAGAGGCTCTTTCTCCTCAGCGCTGACCTCAGGGCTTTCAATGGGAGAGAAAAACATCCCTCCCACCAAACCTCTGGGATCTCGCCCAGCCTGGCCCTCCTGCCCTGGCTCAGACCCAGACCGACCGTGGGGCAGGCAGGCTCCCTTCAGCCCCTTCCCCGCAGTGCAGGAAGGGGTCCCGCTCCCCTTTCTGCCACGCAGGGGCTCCAATGGCTTCCCCGGACCCCACCGTCCACTAGGGTGGGGGCTACCTCCCTCCCCACCCCCACCCGGGCCCCCAGCACCCTACTGCAAGAGGGTACGGGGGGGCTGTATGCCCCTCCCCACAAATTCCCCGCCCGCATTCCATGCCCTGCCGTGCGCCCCCTCCTCACCTCCGTGTCCAGCTGCACCAGCTCCATGTTGGGCCATGGATCTCCCAGCTGGGCGAGCGGCATCCTGGCGGCTTCTGGCCCCGGGAGCGGCAGGCAGGCGAGCGGGGCTGGCGCCTTCCCCTGGCGCTGCAGGTGGGTCAGGCGAGACCGCGCTGGGGCTCCAGCCCGAGCTCCGAACCGCCGGCACTCGGAGCGCCGCTCGCTGCCCCCATTGGGCACCGGCCTCTAGCGCCGGCCCCCTCCGCCCCATTGGCTGAGTGTCTCCGCGGGGAGGGCGGGAGGTTCCGCCCGGGCCCGGGGCGCTGCATTCCCGCTGCTCCCGTGGGGAGTCGGGGCGCAGTCCCCGGACAGGGCGAGCCTGCTCCGAGAGGCCAACGCCCTGCCCCAGAGGGGTGCACTCAATCCGCAGCCCTCACAGATCCCCTCCTAGTGCTAGGGCAGGACCCCAGAGCCTCATCCTTAAGGGTACAAATTCTCGCTCCTTTCCAGGTGCGCCCCGAATCCCACTTCTATACCCCTGCTTCGGGTGCAACCAAAGTCTCATTCTTCCAAGGGGCACCTCAAAATCTGCCCCCCCCGTGAAAATGTTCACCCCTTCCCAGGTGCCCCTCAAACGGCAGCATGGCCCAGAGACCCTCTCCACTTAGCTGCCTTCACAATACCCCACAATACAGAACAGCAGGGTTCGATGAATGGCAAATTGGCAACCACGTGTCTCAAAGGAGGCTGGTGTCAGTGCAAAGCAGTTCAGTTACTATGTGTCATGCTGCTGCATCAGGAGTGGCTAAAAAAATCCAATTCCTGAGCAAAGAACACAACCTGACCCACCTCGTCTCTCCAATTCTCCAGCGACAGTCCTTGCCCCAGATAATGCAGGCGTAAAGCTCTGGGCCAGAAGATGAAGCCAGAGCAAGTCTACACTTGAGGTCTCTTGTGCTTTCCTCTCTCTCAACCATCTCTCTTCAACCTCTTTAACTCCTGATGCACCACAGCCCTCCATAGCCTCTTTCTAGCTGCATCTTCCCAGCTTGTGGGGTTGATGCTGAAAGTTTTTCAAGTCCCTCTTGTGAACATCCTTGAACCTGAGCCCAGATTGGCCCAGTGGCCTTGAAGCGTCCATACAGTACACACTTTGGGATGTGGCCTTTGTCCACCTGGTGTGCAAATGAGTCTAACAGAGACAGCTGAGTGTTTGAGAATAGCAATTGAACTCGGTAATTTTGTTTTCTCAAGTACTTTGGTGGCAAGAACATTGGATTCCCACTTGATTTTTAGAAGACAGTGATGACAGTGAGTATGAAAGGTATTTAGCCTTCTCTCATGCCTGTTGTAGGCGGTCCAGGTCTCACCACAATACAGCAGTGTGCTCAAAATGTGTGTCTGATAGATCCATATCTTGGTGTGCAGTGTCGGCCGAATGTGGTTGCTGCGCTCCGATAAAAGAATTACATTTTTCATCTAGAGATAAGTTATCCGATACCGTCCAGGAGAGCCAAACCAGTGGTAGTAAGGCTGGGAAATGTAAAGAGCAAATGTCTACTGTCGACAAAGGCTACGTGGTTTACCCAAGGCCACCCAGCGAGTGAGTGTCAGAGTTAGGATTTGCATGTAGGAACTTGTGGCTCCCACTACCAAAGTCAGTTCACTAGACTAAGCTGCTTTGTTTACCAAGTTACAAAAAAGAGACTGACTAGTCCCTTTTTCATTTCCCCTTGACTTGCTTGATCAGAAGCTCCTCAAGGAGAAAACCAAGGGAGACTGTTTTCCTATCTGAATTATTTTTAAATTATATCTGTTTTTAATCAGGGCTGGGCTAAACAATTTTCTGATGTGGAGCCTGAGAACGAGTGATAAGAGGAGATGAAGTCAGAGTGATTAACTACTGGAATTTACTAAGGGATGTGGTAGATTCTCCCTCACCTGAAGTCTTTACATCAAGACTGGATGTTTTAAAAACAAAAACATCCTTGATCACAAGGTTAAGGGCTTGATGCAGGAATTCCTGGTTAAAAATCTGTGGTCCGTGTTATACAGGAGGTATCATCGGTCTAGATGATCATAATGGTGTCTTCTGGCCTTAAGATCTATGAATTTACAGACTTAGATATGGGAGGAAAAGGAGAAATCAAGGTCAAGGAATAAAGTTATTGAGAGTGGAGGCAAACAAAGGTCTAAATCAAAGAAGGAGATGGAGGATATATGAATATGCTTACCCAGAAAAATTGCTTCTGTTGTCTTTCAAGAATTAAGCAGAAGGAAGTGGCGATGAAGCCTCAAGATTTCTTGGCCAAAATAGGCAGAGGGAGGACAGATCGAATCAACCTGTCAGAAGATATGTATAGTTGAAGACATAAAACAGACCAGTATCTCAACATATGGTAACATATCTTTAAAGACAAAGCTCAGTGCATAGGCATTTACATGCATTGTTTGAAAAGTAACACTGGTCAGTGACAGGATCTTTCCTAATATATTCAAAAATAACTGAGCACATACAGAAGGTACCATATTCACAGGAGTCCCTGGATTCCTTACACCATAAAACCAGTCGTGATTTTGGGTGGTTTTAAGTACTGTTTAAGTACCGTTATGTGTACATATTTCTACTGGTAAGGGAGATTTTCAAAGGCACAAAAGGCAGCTAGATGGTCACTCCCACTGCCCAATTGGAGTGAGGTGCCCAACTGCCATGTGTGCCATGGAAAATCTCCCCCCTAAGTGTTAAGCTGAGTTGTATGCTGCCTTCACTGTATATAGAACACTGGAAAATATCCCCACAAGAAGGGCATAGTGAGGTTAAATTAGTGGGAGGCAGTACAGGCTAGTGATTAGAGCAGGAGACGGACAGGCCAACAATCTGGGTTCTGTTTTCTGAGTCTGACATTAACTCACTGCTCAACCTTGTGCAAATCCCATTCTTCAGTTTCTCCATAAACTAGGGACATTGATACATATCCAGCTTTGTAGGGTTTATAGAGAGAGACTCAGATGACAGGTGCTTTAGGAATGTGAAGTATTAATTATAAATTGCTATTCTTATCTGCTATCCCGCCCCGTAGAAAAATGTAACACTCTGCTCCTTCTGTCCACCTTCTGCAAAAAACATTTTTGTATTTCATTATAAAACTATTTCTTAAATAAACAATTTTTAAAAAGATAGGTACAGCCAAGGGTCGAACATAATAATGTGTGAGCTAAAAGTATTTTCCTATCATTTGTTAAGAACCAGCAATGTACAAAGCACAAAAATATAGTTTCTGCCCCAAGGAGCTAACAATCTAAGGTCCCGATCCTGCATTCTCATTGGCCTGGGCAATTGACTCAAGGGGATCAGAATTAGGTCAGCACTGATCACTTTTGAAAATCCCACTTTTAATCCCCAGTGAGGTGGGTCCATATTATCATCTGTTGTACAGAAACTGAAGCAGAGAATTCCCCAAGATCATAGAGGGACGTAGTGTCAGAGCCAAGCTTAAGATTTCCTGGCCCCTAGTCCTGTGCTTAGACCACACCTCAGTACTGTAAATCCACAAGCCTGAGATGAAAGTCTTGTGGAGTACAAAACAGCCAGAATAGTACTAGTGAATTCTTGTTATGGACAATTAGGCCCCATATCAATTACTGTGAGAGCAAGTTGAGATGAGTTTTGTCTAGGATAATTTCATCTAACTCCACAGCTTTCTAGGAGTGCTCCTTGTTGCTTGATATGCATAGGGCAGCATGGCTAGGATCATCCTCCAGCTGGTGCAGAATTAAACCTGCTTTAAATAGCAATATTAAAGAGAGAGTATCAATGCTGGAAGACCTAACATCGGACTTATTTTCCTTTCATTTGTTTGCAAAGTCCATGTAACTTTTAGTACTTCTTTATGTTCTTGAATTGTATCAGACTGACTTACATGATGAATGCAGACAGAAGCATGCATGACATGGGGCTTTCTAGCAGGAGAGTAAAGTGGCTGTTTCCAACCCTCTAAGATCAAATCTAGGCCCCATGAAGCTGACCTTTGGCAATTCCACCATGGTGGCACTGGCCTTGATTCCTCCACACTTTAGGAATCATCCAGCCCTGGTATTAAACTGAAGTGATATATTTAAGCCATTAAGGGCAGAGAGGGCATTTCCCACCAGTTGGCATGCAGAACTCCTATTGACTTCAAAGAGGAGATCTGCCTGGAAGTCTTGCAAGAGCAGGTCTTTAACAATCATGTGGAGCAACTGAGGATATAACCTTGACCCAGCTGGCTATTAACTGCTGTGAATTTTCTGACCCAGAAATCATTATTGCTATTGTAAAGAGTGAAAATATGTTAAAAATAAAGTAGTTTCCTTTTGTTGTGTTAAAAAGTTGGCATGCACATGGCCCTGGATGGGGTGCTCTGTTTACAGCACTGGTATTTTTCTAGCACTGAATAGTGGTGCAGTAATCAGTAAGAATGCAAGACAATTTTCAAGATTATTGTGGGAGGTTAATGGCCACTATCCAGAGGGATTCTATTTGAAACACAGAGCAAAGCGTGTTGGAATTCAAGTAGAGAGATAGGGAGAGAATTCACTACTGACTCCATCCCCCAATGACTCTACTGAGATGCTGAAATTTGCTCATATTTCACAGCAGAAAGATTTGCAAGTTGACCGCATGCTTGACAAAAGACAGGAAATATTGAGCTTTATGGAAATGAAGATTTCTTTAATTTGAAGGGAACAGAAAGATCCACACCCAGGGATACCGAAGAGTCTAGACAAAGTACCAAATCACACAATTCACAGTTTCACAGTAAAACTGTAAATTCAAGATTTTTTTTTTACTGAAAAATACACTGCATGAGTATTAGCACGATAGTGCTTGTGCTCTGTTCATTGTTTCATTTACACAAAGACTTCAAAGAACTTTGCAAAGGTGGATATACAGTATCCCCAAATTAGATTAGATAACTCTCATAGCAATTCAGTGGCGGAGCTCGGCATAGAATGCAAGAATCCTGAACCCAAGTCTGCTGCTGTAACCAATAGACCACACTGCCTCCTGCAGCAGACAACCCTGAAAGATACAGGAGATTGGTAACAGAATATGGAGCCTCATTATTAGGTTGCCAGGTGAGCCCAGGGCAAAGGTGACTGAAAGTGTTTTCTTGATAGGTGAAATGAGGTAGTGGTCTCAGCTCAATTAGTATTTCCCAGTTAAAAGGCTACCAAAGCAGGTGGCTTCAATGTTGGCACCCAAGAGAGC